AATCACATGCACAGCTGCCATCCCCAGCCTGCGAGAAGTAGGATAATACCTGAAACTTTGCTCTTTCTCACCCAGATGAGCAACAACAACAACCAACAAATAATAAAAAAAGCCAACAATAAATATAAAAGCCTGTTCAGACGCAGAGAAGAAGACGAGGAGGAAAAAAGTCAAAGTATAGGAGGAACACTTTAAAAGGAGGCGCAGAGGGAACACGGCAGAACTGGATTCACTAATCTCCGAAGAAGCATAAAGTGAACATGCCAACCACCTTCAGCTCCGAGGGGAAAATTCCCTTGGTTTGGTGATAAATAGGATTTAAGTTGGGGTGACAGCTCCTCTGTATGTTGCTGCGTTTGAACGTAAGTGTGCATTTTTGTGCGCCTAAGCACATTCGCCTGATACGCAGGAATGGGCATCCTTCCAGCTCAACCCAGATGCTTTCCTCTGTGCTTGTTGTGACTTATCTCTCAGAAACAACGATGGATGTGTCAGTGCGCTTATTAAAACATGCTTTTAGCCCCGGCCGCCACTCTTCAGGAGGAAATCGCTTTCTGGCGGAGATTGACAGAAAAGAAAAGAGAAAACAACATCCTCATTTTAGGCCCAACATCTCGGACATGATTGCTCCCTTTAAGCTGCTGTTCTTACTGAGGTTGTTTTTTTTTAATTGCTGTTTGCTCTGTTTTGCTCAGAGCTCCATATTCACCAGCCAGGCATCCATGGCTTGAATCTTTAATTACCTTCAACACTTGTCCCCCCCCCTGTATTTCAAACAAACACATGATTAAATGCCGCTCTGCCGTATGTATATGCTATTCTTCTCCACATCCTCAAAAACACCTCATTTAAGTCAACAGTTTGTGTTGACGGACTTGTTTGTTAAACTGGCGAGCTTCTTATTCTTAAAGCCACAGTCCACACACCGGCAAAGGTTTTTCACTCGCCCGCTGGCAGAGAAGCAGGCTGGCTCCTGAAAGCAGCAGCCCCTTCACACTGGATCCAGTTTTTTAACAGCCATTGTCTCAATGATATTATCACCCGGGCTTGATGGTCTCAGCTTACAGAGGAAATGAAAAGATTGCTGTTGACAAACCGGTGCTGACAAGAGTAGCCGACGAGATCCCTCCAGCTTCACACAGGATTAGCTTTGTGCCGTCCTTAAAGACGAGCACAGTTGCCCATGTGTTGCTATTTCCATCGGGGATGGAGACAAAGACGGGGGGAGAAAGCTTTGTCTCACAGAGTGGTGAGACGATGAGCTTCCTCATTCAATATTAGCAGATTAGACGTGTTACGCGAGCCAAAAACTCAAGATGATGTTAAAATGCAGCAAGAAAAGGGGAGGGGGGCATCTATAATCAAAACAACCAACCATGGAACAGTGGATGGCAACTCTTGCCTTACAGCAAGAAGATAATTAGTTTGGTTACAGTTTTAAAAATGCAGAATAAATTTACTCTAAAGTGACCATAAGTGTGAATGGTTGTTTGTATCTATACTGTATGTGGTCCTGCAATGTACTGTAGTGACCCCCACCCTCCCTTCATGACAGCTGCAGCCCCTTCCCTGACCATAAAAATAAATGAAATAAGGAATAAATGAATTAGACATGTTGTCATTCGTCACGTTGCGTCTCCATCTTTTCCCTCTCTGTAAAGAGATTGTTATCGGTGTTGACTTTTTCTGTACGTTTGATCCTAAACTGATACTTTATTTATGAACCTCTGCACTAAACTGTCACACACAGCTGTCTCTGCCGTTCACACGTGTCTGTCATGTTCGTACAAGTGGAGAAAAAAAAAAAGAACAGCAGAATATCTGTCCTTTAGTAAAAACAACAACTTTGTTCAAAATCCGCCTTCATTTCCATGATGTCTGTTCATATGACAGCGCTTCTGAACAGACATTGTTGAAGTGCAGCCAAAACTCCCAGGATTCTTCTCTCTGTCACACTAAGGAGAACAGTTCAACAATGCTTTTCTTTGCCTAATCAAAATTCGCATTTGATTTTATTTCCTGAGAAAAAGCAGCATTTTACCCTGATGGAACGGTATTTGACCGGTGACACACGATGAGTTCACAAAGGTGGACCTAATTGGTTAGTCAGTTGAACTGAGGATGAACTGGGTTTGGGCCACATCAGTCTCTAGGGTGGGGTAATGACTTTTTCTTAAAATAAATTCCTAAAATCATGCCAAACATAACACTGTGCTGTATGAGCAGTACCATCAGTGGTTGAACCTTGGCTGAAACTTTAGCCACTAGAGGGCAGAGAGCTGGAGCTGAGACTCATAGGGACATGATAGGTTTGTTTAATATCTATATAGTTTATAAAATGTTACTGATCAAAACTGATATTGAGAGCAAGTTACACCATACACTAACCGTTGGCAAACTAAGGCTTGTGGATCAGATACTGCCCACTGGGCTTTCTGATTTGTCCTACCAAACTGGTACAGGGTATGGTACAGACTGATGTCAGTCCTTCTGTTTCATGCATTACAACAAATCAACTGTGATGTGCCAAATACAAATTATCTTTGATTAACAGAATCTCTAAAGTTTGACCCAAACTACACACAGACTTGCCTCTGGTTCAGTCCAGCTACAGTGGCCTCGGTTCTGCTTCCCCCATGTCAGAAAAGACAGGGTTCACAATCCAGTCCCGGTCTGTCCCGTGCCCTCGTGTGCCGCCCTGCCTAGTCGTGTGGACATCTGCCATTCTGACTGGTGTCATCACCCATTGCCTCTGTTTGGCTGATGACTCGTGACACCCCTCACCTCGGGGTGCCACGCCACGTTGAGTGCGGAGCATCTTGTTGGTGCATATGAAAAAGCCACCGACACATTGACCTATTCTTTTGGCTTCAGCATCACTGTCACAGCGCGACCCGCCGCCCGTTCACAGATGCCAGATGACCTCTTCACCGAGACACATCAAACAGACAAATAAGCAGGCCAACCAACATCCCTTTCAGGAGAATTACAGAGTTAACCCTTTGAGCGAAGCACCTCTGGGACAACTTCAAACCTTCAAACGCATAAAGATGCCAGGGGCAGGAACAGCAAGTGATTACCACAGCAACTGCCTACAGTGGTTGCTATAGAGACAGCTCAGAATCCAAAGAAAGTCAAAGCCTGGAACTCAGGCCTGCTCCAAGTTGGTGCCGCTCTTCTACGAATATAAACTTTCACAGAAGTGCTATCAGCAGAAGTTTCTTCCAAACTTTGACGGCGTGGAAAATACTGTGGGATGCACATGCACATCAGCATATCAGGCTCCTACAGGCCCACATTAAATGACTCTACTGTTGACCAACAGCGGTATGCATCCTCTGTGAGCTATATATCCCAGACATATTGTTATATAAGTGTTAGCTTGGGGGCAGCACGGTCTCTCCTGTCTGTCCGCCCGTCCTGCTTTCACACTCACATTAAAACCACGTCTTGCAGCGAACAACATGGCATGTTTCTATTTTTGAGCCACGAAGACGAGGTTTTTAATGCTTCTGTGCTCAGATGCCATCCCTCAGTGTAAACACTCAGAAACGCGAGGAAAATATCCTTTAGTTTCGCTGTTCCTCCCCGCTCTGCTCACGTCTACCACAAAAATGTGACTCAGTCAAGAGACCGAGTCCCACTGGTTTCAAGACGATCAAGCCCTGACCCGCAGCCTCTATATTAGGTCATTGTATACACATTATAAGAGAAAAGGGGCCGAGGTGCATTTGTACGAGTCCCAGGTATGGCAGGTTATGATTACCTATGGTGGGATAAATCTCAGCTTCATAAAGATGGTGGGTGCAGAGTAACGTCCAGAGGCGTGCAAAGTGTGTGCATGCATATGCACTTCTAGTGTGTGTGTGTGAGTGTGTCTGAGTGCTATGAGGGCACTGCCGCACCAAAAGATCCATTTAGAGGTAATACAGTCTTTCCTTCTAAAGGTGAGAAGGAGGGAGGGTGGGGGAGAAGGGAGAGAGGAGCGATGAGAGAACGTGTGGACTTAAAAGCCTCTGGGCCTTTAAGAGATTACTGCCTTATTGCTTTGAGACTATCCACTCTGACATCAGCTGTAGGACTAAGAACAGCTGACCACACACACACACAGACACACATACACGCACACACGGACTCAGCAATAAAGACAGAAACTCCAAACTAAAAAAAACAGACGTGAATCGATGATGAACAAAGTGAAACAAGGTAAGAAATACAACAGAGGCAAAGGGATGAAAGAGGAAGTCAGTGTTGTTCCGATTTAGAACCAAGTACTGAGTGTGTGTGTGTGTGTGAACTGTGGTCGTCCACTGTGTGGAGGAGTCGATAACAGCACGGAGCACATGTACAGCCGGTGGGTCGACCAGGTGAGAGGCTGGAGGCGCTGGAGAAAAGGTCGTTTTCTCAGACCACTGTGGTGCTCAGAATCCTCCATTCAAAGAAAGAGGGTGGGGGTCCGGCGTGGGAGAAAAACAGGGGGGGGAAACCCATGAAAGGAGTGGATGAGCCTCAACATGCAGCCCGATTTCAGACCAAAGTAGAAGATTGTGTAGGTGGTAAACAAGGGAAAAGGAAGTAGCGAAGGAGAGAGGACAACAGGCACAGGAAGTGGGCGTGGAGCAAGAGGCGAAGAGACGGGGACGGGGAGAGCGGTAGCCCCGTTCATCGCCCCCTCAGCCCCGTGACAGTGTCAGGAGGAGAGAGGAGAGAGGAGAGCCGGGCTGCTGCTCGCCACCCACAGAGCAACAGTATCCAGGGGAGCCCTGCTTCTGCCTGCCTGCCTCCCACTCTACATCCAACAACAGCCGATACCTTTCCTCCCACCACACTGCTACTTACAGCCTCTACTTATTACTTCACCCACTCACACGCACACACACACTGTGAGCGCCTGTGTGTACACCACACACAGGCAGACGTCTGATTAGTCAATAACGGTGATGATAAATTCAGAAACAAATGGTGCGAACGCTGTCGTGTGGTGTGGAGGTGTGCTGTACCTCTGTGGGGTTTCCACGTCCTTTCCTTTTCCTGTCCTGTCACGTTGACACACTGGCTGTTGGCGCGAGGTTTTGTGACCACTGACACAAGAAGGATGACGATGCGGGTAGACCTTAAAAAAACAAAAGAAAAAAACAAACTTTTGAGCATTTTGGTCTTATAATTATATTTTCATATAAATGAAATTATTTGATGTATTTTCTCCACTACATAATATACAATAATACACATTAACAAACTTTTGAGCATTTTTAAAGAGCATTTTGCTCTTATAATTATATTTTTATATAAATAAAATTATTTGATGGATTTTCTCTACTACATAATATACAATAATACACATTAACACTGACCTTTACCAAGATAAATTTTGGATGTATCAGAAAAAAAAAAAAATAAAGATAAATTTTGGATGTATCTGAAAAACAGTTTTCTCATCTCTAAAGTACAATGACAAAAAAAGTATGGGTAAAAAAAAAAGCGCACACACTAAATAAAAAGGAAAAAAGTATGGGTAAAAAAAGCGCACACACTAAATAAAAAGATATTTAGTGAAACTCAAACAGATCCTTGTTCAAAGTACGAAGGCCAAAATGTTGGTAAAAGATGAGAGAAAAAGAGGGAGAAAGAAGGAGAGAGATATTCAGTGAGAGGTATCCTGAAAAAAGGAGTGGGTGGAGGTTAGCCCCTGGGCATTCCCCAGAATTCAGCAGCCTCATTACAAAAGCAAACACACAAACACCGGTGGGCACAGACGCACAAAGGGTTTCCTCTGTGTTGGAACAGCTGTGAGGCCTGTGATCACATCAGGAGGAAAACACCTGTACGCACGTCTCTTATCTGCTGACCCCGCCGCCCTGCTGGATATGCAAATCCAAACGTCACTAATGGGGTAAACACACACACACACACACACACGTACCACTAACTAGTGTATTTGGTGAGCAGTGTGTCGGGCTCTCGTGCCCAGGCCTCTCAACACCACGTGTGTGTGTGTGTAATGTAGTAGTTTGTTTGGAACAAATGAGAAAGCAGGCCGTTAATGTGAGATTATTGATGTAATATTTATGAAGTCATATCAAAAGTGTCGGGTTTCATTTTTCAAAGCAACAGTGGTACCCGTGTGTGTGTGTGTGTGTGTGTGCAGGAACGGATGTGGGTGGAAAAGGGCTTTCCCAACAATCCCTGCTACACACACAAACATAAGGACAAATAGGAAGGATTTCTGTGGTAATACATCAAGGGTACTCTACGTCACATTTGGATAGTCAGCGTAAATTATTTTTGTTATTATGTATTAACTAAAACTACTACATTACTACTATTAATAATAATAATAATACAACTACTAACAATAACAACAACAAAAACAGTAATAATATATGACAGTAATAGAATGGTAGAGGAGAGTATTAGCAGAATAATTAGTAGTAGCTGTAATAGAAGTAGTAATAAATATTAGTAGTGGCATTAGCACTAGTAGGAGTAGCAGTTGGAGTAGTAAAACAAGTAGCAGTAGAAGTTGAAGTACTACTACTAGTAGTAGTAACGGTAGTTATAGTAGTAGTAGCAGTAGTAGTAATAATAGTTGTAGATGTAATGTAATAATAGTACTAGTAGTAGTGGTAGCAGTAGTAATAATATTCGTAGTAGTAATGTAATAATAGTCGTCATTTCTCGCTCAGCCTCAGTTTTCTGTCTTTTCCCAGTTGAGGTCAAACAACATGAATGAAGAGTTTGTTTCCGTCTGTGAAACGTTGACTGCGTCTCCACTAATTATCACACATATTTGTGACACACGTCTCAATTAGCATTGAAATAACTTTGGCTTTTGACTCTGTGCACAGACACACACACACATACACACACTTGTACACAGAATCTGATGTACGGTGTACCACGAACTAAAACAAACTGCAGCACATCATCAATAATGAAGTGTAGAGAATTTCAGTCAACAGAACAAATGAAGTACACTGGTCCAGTGAACAGTAGTGTGTAGATATATGGCAGTAGTAATACTGTGTGTCTGTGCCCATTATTACCTCACATTCTCAAGTTGCGTCTCTAAAAACAACAGTCTATATTCACAGTACCACCGTAATCAATCAGCCCAGACCAGAAGGTGGCGTCAAAATTCCTTGCCTTTTTTTTTGTTTTGACAAACAGACAAATGTGTCCAAAACATAAAGTAAATTACAGACTTTAACTTTAATACCACAGAAAAAAACATCAACCAAAAAAAAAAAAAAAACAACTCAGTGAGACATGGGATTATTCTACTAACAGTAATAATAATGCAGTAGACATTTAAGACAAAACCGGAGGAAACTCGCTGGTGGTGAAGCCTCTTCTGTACATTTTGATGACTGATATATCTGACCTTTTTCCTACAATTGAACAATCATGTCCTCTCAGACTGAGGATCCTCCAACATTAATGACATTTATTCCTTTACAACCACCGCTGGATAATGTGCTCGAGTTAAACAAGAAATCTTAACTACACTTTTGCCTCTTAAATACCACGATTGTCTCGGTTTACGCCAGTTTTATGCTACTCAAAGTTGCGAGGTAGGCAAGTGGACTGAAGGGGTTTCTTGGTGACCTTTCACCTTCAATCTGAGAGGATTCTTCAGTTCTAATTGACTGTGAGAAAATTCTTATATTTCGCCTCTGAGTAGTTGAATATTTGAAGAGAGATCTATGTGTGAAATGGGGGGGGAGAAGCCTAACAGAGCCATGTGGTTGTACTGCATAAACTCAAGCAATAATATCTCACCAGGAACTGGTTACTGTTGCATAGCACTTCCACATGCATATTCTGAGCATTATGCAGCACGCGCTTGTGAAGAAAGTCAGTCCTGTTTATTAAAAATGGAGGTGGATCAAGACAATGTGGCACCAACAAAGATCAGTGATTGGTTAAAGCAACTGACCACGCCCATACATTCAGCTTTTTCGGTATAGTTTAAATAAATCTGAATTAGAATTAAAGGTCCGGCATTTCAGTAATGTGTTTTTGTTTTAAAAATTGTTCAGCTAGAGAAGTTAATGAGTTTTTAGTTAATGTCTATGGGTGTTTATTGGAGACGGCCCCCACTGGCCGATAAGGAGATAACATTAATAATTTGAACTTTATTGATCCTCTGGGAATTGAACCCAGGACTACCTGCTCTGTGCTTCCGAGACAGGCGTGCTAACTGCTACACAATGGAACCACCTGAGGTGATAATCTGGTATTGTTTCACAGAAAATAATACAAATGCCATAACTGGAAAATAAAATAGGAGGAGAGAACAGTTCTCGTCTAAGGTGTTAATAATTGTTCTTGTTTCTTAGATTCTGACAATGAATGGATTTTTAACTCACTGGCAGGGAGACGAAACGCTTTTCACCAACGCAAGACAATTTGGCAGCCAAACAGTCAAGATGGGAAGTGATTAATGCATATGCAACAGTTTCCAGACATTTAGCACAGCATTAGTCTAATCTTAGAGATTTGTTTCTGAGCACATGGACGCACGGCTGAAAACCAAAGAACTTTAAGCCGTGGGTTTATTAAATATGTGGATCCGTTTCAGTTCAAACACAGAGTGTGGCATTTTTAGATTTTAGCTCGCAGCATAAAGGCGAGATAGAAAATGCAGTGTGGCCTCTCGTTAAACCTCCCTGTGTGTACGCCGCTCTGAAGTGAGGGGGAGGGGGTGTCCTCTTGTCTTCTCCTACACACACACACACACACACACACAGAGCATTTCCAACATACACACACACACACAGAGCATTTCCAACATACACACACACACACAGAGCATTTCCAACATACACACACACACACAGAGCATTTCCAACATACACACACACACACACAGAGCATTTCCAACGCACACACACACACGCACAGACACTCGTAGCCAACTTGCCCAACTGATCCCAGTCCCCATACAACCCAAATATGTGTCATTTATGTACAACATAAGGAGAGGAGTACGGGAAAGGTCCCCAGAGAGCAACATTGTCATCATACATTAAACAGCACCCCAGGTCTGACTAAACACCCGCTCATTAATTCATAATGTGGAAAGTGGTTAAATATAGATCCTCCCTCCTTCTCTGCTCTTCCTCCCACAGATCCTCACCCTCTCCCCCTCCAATGCAGTCTCTCCAAAAAGGAAGGAGAGGAGCGGTTCTGCTCCGTGATGGTCCACAGTCTAGGTCCATGTAAGGCGCTCAGAAAAAAACAAAAGCCAATGTGTGTGTGTGTGTTGACAGCTCAACAGGTGTCCTCTCTCAGCAGGAGTCCCTCAGTAAACAGGAGTCGAGCAGTAAACACAGGCCCCGCTGATGGTTATGATGTCAAACCCTGGCCTAACCTTATCTCCCCTGTTCCAGCTCTTTCATCGTTCACTCTGTCCATGTTTTTTTTTCCTCGTCTCTGTTTTCCCAACCCTTCCCCCGTGTCTTTTTTTTCCCTCTCTGACCCTCCACACTATCAGCATCTAACACTCTCTCCTGACCTTTCTTTCACTCCGTTTCCGACTCCTCGGTCCTCCCCGCCGTCACTCCTGCGTGCATTCGCTCCTTTTCTCCCTCTCTATTCATATATAATGTCAACGGCTGGCTCTTTGTCAGTGCCGCCGTGTCAATGCTCCCTCACCTGGGTGCCCCCTTTACTGAACACTTTAGTTTCCACCGTCCACCTTTCTTTTTTCCTAAGGACCTCCATCCATTTTTCTGTCTGATTTAAGCTGCCAAACTATTTTTTACTCTTACCCCTAAAGGGCAGATGGATTTCTTTTCATGAGCCTGGGGAACCAGAAAGATGAGGAGAACCTTGAAAACCCGAGGAGCAGTGGAGGGGCAAGGGTAGAAATAGAGGGCGATTCACAGAATGGAGCAGACACCTGAGTGGAAACCCCTTGCTCTTTGCCACAAAAGACAGACATGGTCAGTCACCACAGAATACGCAGGGATTAGTCGAAAGGTTCTAAGACAGACGTGAAAATGTGAAAAGGTGTCTGGTTTAAATAGATGAAACATGTTAAGACACATCTCTTAGTTTTATGTTACCTCATCGGTAAAACTGGCCTTTTTTTTCATGGACAGTGTAGATAGATAGGTAGATAGATAAGTCAGCATCAGCACCATCTTCACTAATGTCAAGTGTCAATTTTAGTCATTAAAATATGAATAAAGTTTACATTACCATCGAGTAATATAATAGTAATTATGTAGAAAAAAAAAGTATTTAAAAAAAGTATAGAGTAGAATGAGTTTTACCAAATATGATTGAAATCCAAGTTGGATCACACACAGAGCAAGAAGCGTTAGCCGCTGGCATCTAAAGCTTGCAGGGACAGCTTTCAGGTAAGTTAATCAGACAGAGCTGCCGAGGAATCCAGGAGCCCGTGAAGGTCAAAAGCTCCACCTCTGGTCGACAGCCAGATTTCTATTTCTCTGTCTTTTTTATAAGCCCTACTTGATGGACTGAGTGAGGAGGGAGCTGAGCGGTAGTAGCCAAGGATGCTATGATTATAACTCTTCCTTCTCCTAAACAACTCAGTGCTTTTATTCGATGACAGCAACATTTCCTACAGTTGAAGTTGAGTGGAGAGTGTGGGGAAGGAAAATAGAAAAAGACAAAAGCGAGAGAGGAGGAAAGAGAAGGAGGAGGTTGAGATACAGGGGTTGAAAGATGGAGCAGCGGAGTTTCAAGCAGAGGACAGGAGGAGATGGGGAAGTTGGAGGAGAGGCTGGCGGACGACGAAGGACGGTGAACCAGTCCTCCTGCTCACTTGACCCTTTCAATTACCACAGCCACGGTTAATTAGCACTGAGGTAAGCTCCTGTAATTACCAGACTGTGTCTAGGACAAGAGGCGACACACGCACTCAACCAGCACACGCACACACAAAACACATGCACAAACATGTTGCTATGGATACCCACTATTCTTGTACAATTCTCTATCACTGTGCAGGAAAACCAGAGTCAAAGAAGATAGAAATAGATACAAGAGATGACAGGAAATAACAGGAGCAGAAAAGAGCCGAGGAAAGAAAGCAAACAAAAGCTTCTCAGAGGAGGAGAACAAAAAGTAGTAAAAGTGTTGAGTTCAGAGAAGACTGATGGCTCTGTGTGTCGGCCACATTTCTTCATAACAGACACACTTCAACAACAATGTCTGCTATCTAGGAACAAATCAGTTTCCACATGTTAATGTTTCACATTAAAAGCTGCTTCAAAACGAAAGCAGAGAACGAACGCAGAAAATAATGAGCTGGGATTACAGTACGTGTTCCATCGTATTTTTACACATATCCACAATTCCAAACTCAAACCTCTAGGTGCCAATTCACATCACCATCTGACCCCTACTGAACCCTTAAATGTTCAAATGAGTGTCCAAAAGATCTAAAACATAAGAAATGTATTTCAAATAAAGGACAAAATGTCGAAATAACTGTAACCAAGTCTTTACACTTCTACAAGTGAAATTTCCATGGAAAATATTCTTCTCTATAAAATTCTGGAGAATGTTTTTCACACCACGTCACAACCTGCATCTGTGTCTCATTTAAGGACTGAAATCAAGTTCCACTGCTATTCATTTTTTTAGGCCGGAAATATAAGAATGAGTCAGTGAATAAAAAATGTATTTCTTAGCTTTAAAATGTTGAAGAGTTTTCTGTTTAAGTTAAGGGTAAATCAGTAATGTAAAAAAACCAAAACCTAATCAATCTGATTTGTGCCCTGATCTCAAAACCTGACATTGATTAATCATCATATACACATATATACATATACACAGAGAGAGAAAGAGAGAGAGAAAGAGTGAGAGAGAGAGATATGTCTCTTCTGTATAGTTGACATGTTACATAAGCTGTCGAAAATAGTATTTATCAAAGGTGCTGGTGGGAAGATTAGTCCAAATGTACCTTAGTAGGGATGTGATGTGACCCGGAAGCTTCTGACAGCCCAGTTCGTAGACCACGTTTGTCGATCTATTTTAAAGAAGAATAAACATTTTTTTAAAAAGAGTCTGTTCAAACTGGATTGGATTTTATGTGAACAATAATGGTGGAGTCACCCATGGCAACAGTATGTCAAATACTCACACACCTTTGGGTTTCATTTAAATGAGACCAGGTTTCACTCAAAGCCAATTGTTGTCCACACAGTGTGGCTGCCCTTTCAGATGAAAGATGTATTCCTTCTTCATCTACTTCTTCTCCTCATTCTTCTTGACCAATGCATAGAAATCCGTTACTAACGTTGGCCCCCTCGTTCTTTCATTGTTGGGCGGACAGCTCCACCGCGTGTTGAAGGTTGGTAGTGTATCTGTTGCGTACAGTAAGGAAACAAAAAAAAGCTGTAATTATTACTATTAAACAACAGAGATAAAATATTGTTCCATTTACACATTTGACCTACAGCAGACCGAGTGACGTCTCACTGTATCCTCAAAGCTAGCCTAAAAGTTAGCCTGAGCTAATGGGTATGTCTGTTTAACTATATGGGTTTTAAATCCATAATTTGTAAAGTACTAACATACAGTATATACATATATACACACATACAGTATACAGATATATAAATATGTACCAATATTGATCAAAACAAGAGCTAACTTTAATGCAGCACGATAAAACCAAGTCTCGTGTTGAACTGTAACTTTTTAAATATATATTTCTAGTAAAAGGAGGATTCGGATTATTAAACGTATTAGCAGATAAAAAATAGCTAAGAAATGTTGTGTGGGTTTTATCACACCAGCTCATACGACGTCTGGGCGGTTTGCACTCCTACCATGTGGCCGAATTAGCATTTCCAACACGGTCGGAAGTAGCATGGTCTCCGCCATTGTTGTTATCGTGTGACGTTGAGCAGGGTCACTGAGTTGAAAGGTTACAGAGAGGCGGGGCTGACCGTATAGTCTCTCTGCTCTGTTCTGCTCTGGGAAACACAGCTGAATCTGCGATGTAGCTCCAGTATTCACAGTCGTATCATGGCTGTGTAAACGTCACCTGAAAGACACAAATCTCCAGTCCTGCCAAAAAATAAAATAAAAAAATCTAAAAAATAAATATTCCTTTACAAAAAGAATTCTTGGCTCTTCAACCGATATGTTGTGACAACATTGCGGTTCCATAAAGACAAGAGCCAACACTTAAGGAACAGAGTTCAATCACAATTTCTGATGAAATTTCCTTTATTAGAACTTTTATTACTGTTACATGACCGTGTTATACCATTGTCCCTGCACATGTACTGTTATCACTTTTGACATGAAGCATTGACAAGTGGCACGAACATCACATGAACGACCTGGTGTCTTATTGTGATATAAAACAGAAATAATTAGCAATAAATAACCCATAAGTCACAAAATTTAAAAAATAATCCAGTCGTATATACCGATAAAAAAAGTTCTCACAATTATGAATATGAATCAAATAAAAGCTTATGATCTTTAAATACCTGACAATCGGTTCGTATTTTTGCCCGTGGGTCTTTACCATTGTGACCAAATGTTCATGTGTCTAAACGAAAAAAGGAAAAAAAAAACAGTTAAAATTCTAAAAACAAATTCCAACTCTATAAGTCTTCACATTTGCTCTGGCGTAAGGACATATGATTTATTATTACTGAGGGTTTTTTTTTTTGTTCCAAGTCCAAAGATTAGGAAATCGTCTGACCAGAGAATGAATAAGGCAAGCAAGCTCTTACTGTATGTACAGTCAAGTTCTCTATTTACACGAGTTTACGTGGAGTTTAGTGACTTTGCCAAAAGTTTGGGGTTGGCACCCTCTAGTGGTTCATGGGAGCATTACACTGCAAACCGCAGTAATGAGTGCGGGAGTTTTCTCAAGCTTTCACATCTGCCGCGTCCAGATAAATCATGCACGTCGAGACCAGCAACTGAAAACAATGAAAAATCCAACAGCTTCAGTTCAGTCGAGTTGAGAAACACAACTGGTATGACAGTCTCTACTCCTATTATATAGAAGGAGGTATAAATAATAATAAAAAAATTGCTCTGAATATTTCCAACCTGCAGGACTTTCTAGACAGCAAAAGTAAGTGGAAAGTGCGGCGCTACTCCGAGACATTCTACAACAGAACAAAGAGATTATAAAGGACGTCAATAAAAGCAGATACCTCGCTGCCTCACATCAGCTCTTATGTGACTGTGATGTGATTGTATTTGTTAGGTAACAGCGCCACCCTCAGTCCTTTACAGCAACGAGTCGAAGTGAATCGGTTTGCACAGCTGACAAGACAAACAAAAGTCCAATGAATATAAGCACCAGGATTGAGGAGGATAGGGAACCTGGGGGAGGGAAGGGGGAAGAGGTAAATAAGGATGTGATGTCTACGTGAAGGATATCTAAGCCCACACTAAACAAACCACTTCCTTTGGAATAACATAAAAAAACTAAAAGGGTAAAGAGAGATGAGGCGGATGCCGATCAACAGCACTGCTGGGCTGAGCAGAAATTGGAAATAATTATGTTTTTAAGTTCTTAAACTCTAGTAACACTTCAGAGACTGCCAGTTGTTAAGGTGTTTTTTTTACGGCCACCATCATCAGCAGGAGGAGGAGGATGTGAACATGTGGCCTGTGTGCAACTTCCAACAACAAAGGGAAAACAGTTTTAAATCAAATATTTTCTCCTGCTGGTAAGAGAAAATACTGCATGTAGAACAACTATACTGTTTATAACTAACTGATAATTATAAGACTTAAACTATACTCTCTCTCCTCTCCTAAAACGAAAGTGGCCACGTTTGGCTAAAAACTCTATAAATATATATATATATAAATATACACACAGATGTGACGGATATGCATTAGTGTTCAGACAAAGCAGGTTGGAAAGCCTGCAGGCTGTGGGTGGAGAGATGGTGGCAGCAGTGTCAGACAACGACTGGGTCAGGTGGGGAAAGCAGGCCTCATGGTGGCGTCTCTGCGTTAGCAGTCGTGGTCTTTTTCTTTGCGGGTTTCTTGACCGTCTTGGTTTGGGTCTTGCAAAAAGAAGTAAAAAAAAATGGAGGGAAAAAAAGGTTTAACATAAGAATCGTGTAAAAGTACCAAAACTTTTCAAACTGACTGACTTTAAATTAAATCTAAACTGGACAGTAGGATGGTTCCACCATTGAATACAACTTCAACAAAACCATTAATCATGAACATTAAGTCAACTAAAGATTTGGGACACACACAGGTTTGCGTTTACCTCAGTTTTAACAGCAGCGGTTGTGGTTTTCTTTGTCACCTTGACAGCGGTCCCACGTTTGGGGGCTTTGTCTATCATGTCGTCATCCGAGTGTTCAGTCCTTGTGTCTGATTGGTCAGAGCTGTGTTGGGATGACACGTCGTCGGCAACGGACGTGGTAGCCAGGGAGCGGGCTGCAGAAAAGATGGGTGAGAAAAAGGGTTGTTTTTTTTTATTTGATAATTGTGTTACACTTTGTTTTTTTTTTTATTTGATAATTGTGTTACAGCTGAAAATGGCCTTTCCTCATATTTGGATGATGTATTTTGATTGGTCGGTTCAGTCCTGGACACAGCTGACATTTGGTCAGCAGTGAGAACTGGTATGGGGTTTACCACAACAGAGACATGAGGCTGCCTGTACACAGATCATCTTTACACAGCACGCCCCCTAGTGTCATATTATAAAAACGCATCAATCATGATGTTTAGCAGACAGAACACAACTTAAGATAAGTCGTCTACAGAAAAACTCTTCAAAAGTACAGAAAACTGTTGAGAGAAAATGGTCTGCTTTTTTTAAAATACTTTTTTTCTACTTTTTTGTCGCTGTTGGATTAGATAAACATCCTTTCCTATTTGTTGGTCTGCACATTAAAGTTGCCACTTCCCTGACTTTGTCCATTATCTCACAGTGTCTGTATTCAGTTCACAGTGTGTCGAGCCTACACAGCCAGACAGCCAGCTGGCAGTGTAGTAAGACACACACACACACACACACACACACAGTCCCTCTATGTTTCTCCTCCCACTGAAATCACATGCCATCAAGCGACTTTGTGTTGTTCCCCACTCCTCCTCCTCCTGCTCCCTTACTGCAGTATTAAGCATCACATGACTTCACTTAGCTCCAGCAGGCCCTGTTCTACTAAATAACAATTGTTCTGTGAACGCTTTACACCAATGAACTTAACGAGACAAACTGTGTACGTTCCACACGTGAGGGTTCTACCCAAAGGCCTGTGTGTTGTCCGTGTCGTGCGGCCTTACCCTGCCGTGCGGAGGAGCTCTTGGCCCGCGGCAGCGTGCTGGACCCTGAGCTCATATCGTCCGACGCCTCCCGTCTCGTGCGTGGATCTGAAGTGTGCAGAGACAGCTCACCGTCGGCGTTGATGAGAGTCAGGTCTTGCATGCTGAAACTCCGCAGCTTGTCCGACAGCACGCCCTGTCCCTGGGTTTAACAGACGAGCAAAATTTGTTAAAGAGGAAAAACAGTCGCTATAAATGGCTGTAAAAAATGTTCCGCTTAAAAGATTAAATTGGAATTAGCTTAGCCTTTTAACAGATTTACATTTTTATAGACGTCCAACACGACCCACTGAGCTCACCTTTGCAGCTGCAGTGACAGCAGCATTTGCAGCCAGGTTTAGACCCCGCTTTCCAAACTTCATCATGGTCTCATAACTCCTGTCTTTGGCCTGGGCTATATACTCATCAATCTCCTGCAGAAGGCAACAGCAGAGTGAATGCAGTTAGGACAAATATATTTGTGCATACAATTTTACATTTTTTTCCCAAAGAGTCAAGTTCTCACTCTCACCCTCTCTTTGTTGGACAGTGTTGGGTGGACAAACTTGCGGTAGAGGACACTGGAACCCTTGGTGTAGGGCGACAGGAGCCAGATCACGAAGGCGATCTTTAACTCAAAGTAAAATGGAAACCTGCATTGATAAGAGTTTTTAGAGTCAGAAATGAGAAAAGACAAGATATATAAAATATGCTTCAGCCAATCAGTGCTGATTGTTTTCCACAAACAGGAAGAATAAAAAAGTGAAAGCCAATCAGAGCCCGTGGTTTGAAGGCATGACATCTGATGATAATTTGTTGTAAAGTAAACTTGAAGGCATGACATCTGATCTGATGATAATTTGTTGTAAAGTAAAATAAAAATAATCATGTTCTTATGTTTGTCTTTCTGTTTTAGGAATATAGTGTAAAAAAGTTGTTTTGTCATATTTAGGAATGTTGATTTATCTGGATTATCACATCACAATTAATCACATTTACAATCACATGTTAATTAGTTGACAGTCCTTATTTAAATGCCAGATTAATTACATTAGTTTGGTAAATATGACATGAAATCTAATATCTAACGCTAACTGTAAGTTAGCCGATGTAGTTAATTTGGATATTTCAGCAACTACCAGGACTAAGACTAAGCTACAGTTCCGTCAAAACTAAATCAAAATTAACTCTGGATCAGAGCCACACAACCATCAGCATTTCTGCACACAGTTCAACTTTACTCCTTGCATCTTGGAGTGGTCTGCAGCAATTTCCTAAAGTGGCCTGGGATTGGAGTATGCGTTGAATGACCAACTTTTTGAAATGGCGTTCGTACATTTACTCGAGATTATGGTGCTAAAAATATCACCACCGTGAGGAGTGACTGCGACGTTACGTAAGCCGTTTGTTTGTTACGCCTGAGGACGACACTCGTGTGAAGCTGCGGACGCTCACCACGATAGCAGCAGATCTGTGGCCGTCTCTGCTGTGGTGAACAGTGCAAAGACTATCCAGTACATCATCCACTTCACCTGAGGACACACACACACACAGAAATAGGTTAGCAGTGAAACTATAACACAGGCGGCACGTGCTGAGACACGTGGAGAACATATGCTTTTATAATTACTTCAGTGATCGTGAACCATCTCTGGTGATAAAAATGTGGGGCATCGACAGAAGTGGGCAATGTACTTTGAGTACTACAGTACAGCAAACACTAAATATGTGAGGGAAATGAAAAGCTGAAATTGACAGAATATTTCACTCATAAAAACATAAACAGCCAATGCTAAAAGATTTTAACTCTTTAGAAAATCAAGCCAAACACGAGGCACATGAGGAATAAAAACACAGAGTCTAAAAATGGTGTCCTCTTTCTGTAGCCTTCTGCTTGAGCAGCAATTGAGGGGCGGTTTCCATGGTAACCTGCCGGGAGGAGACTGTTCTCTGGCATAAATCTAGGCTAGCGGCCTGGGAGCTGCTCCGTCCTTCCCTCCTTCTCTGTCCCCTCCTCCTGCTCCTCCTGCTCCTCGGCCTCCTTTCCCCCCCAACCCCCTCTCATCTTGTAGTGATGATGTAAACAGGGAGGACCCCATTGCGTTAACAGAGTCTCAGCCAAAGACAGAACCAGACATAAAAACCAAAGCTGTCCTTCTCTGTTGGTTACAACACACAGATCATATAAGGATTTACACTTAAACTATGAGGTTTTAAAATGGTTGTTTGTTTTTTTTAGACAATTAATCTGCCAAAATTATTGCTGCCAAATGGCTAGAAAAACAGGATGAGTTGCAATTTGTCCAACAAAGGAAAACAACTGATGTTCATAAATCTATGGAGAAACCATTCAAAATATCCATTCATTTTTTATCATTTAATCCTGGTAAGGACCACAGGACTGTGTGAAGTCAGACACTAAAACTTCATAATATATCCATTCAGCAGCCTAAATGTTAAGTTCACTTAAAAAAAGACATTACTCTGTTGAAATACAAGGGATAAATAGAAGGATTTGGACAAATTATTGTTAACATTATTATGCAGGTTTTTCCATCACTGTCGTTCTGGTGGCATAACACTGATGAATCATAGGGGTTGGTTTGTTCTTAAGTCAAATGACCTGCTGTGCTCACTCTGACAGGGTGAGGCAGGTAAACATCGAAAGTACATCAATATTTTCAGCGAGTTCTGAGATTAGCACACACACACACATTAGAACAACACAGGTCATTTGACCGCTATGTCGTAATATGTAACATTACCTGACAATAAATACACTAAAACAGTGAAGACTTATTATTTAAAAAGCCATGTGTATTTTCGCCATTACACTTCAAAAAGATTTGGAAGTTTTGCCCACAAACAAACTTCTGCTTTGAAAAAAAAAAGGATTTGCCTTTTAAATGACAGTCACACATCACCATTTTTAACAGTGCAAAACCTGTTTCTCTGAGTAATCTTCTTGTATTTAAACTCTGAAATAAACCAACAAATTAAGTACCAAAAATATCTAACTAAATGCTGGTAACGCCTGCCTGTCTGTTCCAAGGCAGTTCAGCTATGCAGCTGCACTGCTGCTGAAATACATCATTCTCTCGGCAACGTTACACAAGCAGAGCAACAACACATCTCCTCAATCTTGTTCGATGTCCCAATTTCTTGAAACAGTAGTCCACTTTCCTTTTGTTGATAACCCCCTACATCTTGTAGCGGGCCGGATGTTGAATGTCCATGAAACGGAAGAGGCCCCCAGGCCAGGGTTTGAGCTCTCTGGGTTAAAGGATTGGCATGTAACCCGAAGATTGCCGGTTTGACTCTTGGTCTTTTTACTAAAAAGTACAGCCTAGTGCTCCTTTGTGTCCAAAATAAATTATTGGGGTCTGACATGTGTGTCACACGTGGACTGAATGCATTGAGTATTTTTTCTTGGATTAAATGCTTTGACAAACATTTGTTCTCCATGTGCTCAAAAAAAAAAGTGTGAGGGTCCAGGGGTGTTAGAGAAAGTCATTACTCACATATTCCTTCACATTCTTCGTTTTGACAGCCTTGTATGAGGAGTACGCCGGGTACAGCGTCCCAAAGGCGAGGCTGGAAAAAAGAAAAAGATGCCAGGGTTAGAGGAGAGGAATTCACTTTGGGAACAAAGTCTCTGGGTGTTGACACAAACACTTCTATTCTATCCCGGGTTTTGAAAAAGCAGGTTACTGGTGTTTGCTGAGTGCTTATATAAACAAGAGCAGATATATTTGTATTCACGTGTTCAGTGTCTGCACAGTTTAATCTGAGCAGTGATGACAGTTACGATGGCAATCACAATAAAAAAAAGAAGTAACGACGGGCAGTGCCTTGTTCAAACACACTGAGCTGATAATTAAGAGACAGGAAAGACTGCAGCAGCGTATCATGCAAAGACACACACCGGTGTGCCAAGGGTGGGACAACATGTGGTACCTCTCATGCTCAGAGGGACGTGCCGCAGAGAAATGGGCTTTATGATGGGCTTTAGTTCACATCCTGCTAAAATGAGAGTATCCTGAATGCTGAGAGAGGGGAGAGGCCAGAGTGCTGCTCACAAAGTCACCGTCTGTACGCTCCTTCCACAGGTACCATTGGACGAGTGTGAACACATGGCATTGGTATGACACCAGGATGTAGTGGGATTTTAGATATTTATGAATTATGGTAAAACATTTTTAAAAAAGAAGCTGCATAAGTCATTTCATCATAAAAATACACTAATGACTAAAATCCATAAAGCAAAAGGGTTAGATTTTTTTCAGCATTGATAATTCCATCATTTAAATTAGTCATGAAGAAAAACAGGTGTGAAACACATGCGGTACAAATACAAACATAAATTACAATCATAACTAATTACAGGTTAGGTGACTTATTACTCAACACAAACTAATGCCAACCACTTTCTCGAACACCTGCTTGATAGTGGATGTTTACAACAATACTATTAGGAAAAATACTTCCAAAAACTGCATAAATGCTCAACATATTCTAAGATTTTACTGTGAAATTGTGTATAATAAAGGATTCAGGTAGCACCTCTGCACTTTTACTACCATTTTTACTAACGCAATATTGCAATTCACGTCACATTATCGATCACCACGCAATGGCCTTATCAACATGCCCTCGGTTTTATGACATCATGAGACGAATATCATTACATTTCTACTCTATAACGGATCTGTGTGATGACAGCTGATTGCTTTAGTCGAGTCATCCACACTGCACTCATGATGTGGCGTGAATGAGGGAAAGCTCAGGTCTGGTCGGCTCGTGCTACATCACCAGAGTGAAGAAAAATAAAAAACAACTTTATACATTAAAATATTACAACAGGCACTGACATTTGTCCTGAAAGACGCCCCAAATGATGTCACGGGTGGATGGATGGATGCACACGAACATCTGCCATCATTCAAAGCCTCATGTTAGCAGATGGTTCTGCACTGAGAATGCACAGTCACCAGAGCAGCAGTAGCCACAGGAACACTAGCTCTTGTCAAAGCCAAAGATGGAAGTATGGAATCAGTTTACTTATCTGGCCTATTAAGTGGGGTTTATTTAAGCAATCTCAGAAAGGAATGTTTAATAATAAATAAATATTGTTTACTACATATATCTTTATTTAGGTCTCTCTCATCCAGGTGAATGTTAATAAGTCCCAGGATGACAAAATATTTTAAGGACTACAAAAATTGAATTATGTACTCTAAGTAATTCTACACCAAAAAATATATACAATTTTTAAAATATATGCTTATTGACATTCCAGTTTTGAATGTCCAAAGCCTTAATTCCAGTTTCTTACATTAAAAAAAGCATTTAGGGCAGTAAAAAAAAAAGGCAATGACGTGTTGGTGTGAGGGCGTATGACTGATTGGGGCTAATGCCCTAAGAACTCACGGGGAAAATTACACAATTTGCATAAATATCTTACAACAGTTCTGTGCTAAAAAAAAATTACAAAATATAACAGTAAAGAAATCTTAAAATAAAGTGCAGCTGTTACCATTTTGTTTTTACAGAAATTGTTTTAAGTTACAGAAGCCTAACGATGTAAAATTTAAAAATATATATTATTCAATGAATAAAAAGGTGACCACCCACAATTTCTGTTTAAAGCCCCCCATCATTAGGCAGTCCAGAGCCGGGCCTGCTGTTTTTTTTTTTTTTTAATTCAGTGTTGAGCTGCTAAGAACGGTATTACAATTTTGACCTTAAAAGATTCTCCATTGAAATTTTAAATTAATCTGTTTCCCCACACCATTTTATCAGGCTAATGAATTATCCCATTGCCAACACAAAACTGTTGATTAGCCAGCATATGTTAGCCACAGCCGCTAACAAACGGCTGGACGTAGATTATACTGCATCACTGTGGTCTTTACTGAACCAAAGGGACCTGCTGAGGAACTTAGCCTTGGTTAACTGTTGGGCCCAGCATTTAACTAACCGGTGTAAAAACAATACAGTCCCAAATGCGACAAAAATGGGCACAGTGACAGAACAGAACAGAGAAGCAGACGCAGCCAACTGGCGCGGTGTGGCGTTCAGCATCAGACAGCTGCTGATGAATGGAGCTAACGTTCAAACAGGACCCAGCCCCGTACTCACACAACTATCCTCGAAATCATCCACGAAACCATGATGGTCCGGCAGCGACCGCGCACCTTCCGCTTTTAGGAAATGTTATCGGTTAGCTGGCAGGCTAAGTGCCTGCCATTCCTCTCCGGGACGCCCGTTTGAGGTGATGCGAATCAGGTGTTTGCGGCCGGTGCTGCCTGTCTGCCGCTCGGCTCTGCTCTGCTCTGCTGTTGGCTGCTGTCAGGTGGACCAGCAGCAGAGGATGATGTGGATGTGAAGCTGAAGCTGCTGCTGCTGTAGACGCTGGCTCTTAAAGGGGCCCGCACTCTTATGAAGTTGTATTTTTATCTACAGGAAGGAGCAAACAGAAATATGTTTGTGAATCGTTTACTTTGCCTGGACATAAATGTAAACAAAGCCATTGTATTCCCCTGTATCTTTGAAGACACCAGGTGCAAATTACTAGAAGAAGGCTCGAGAAACATTTAGTGTAAACCAATGGTTCCTCTAACTTTTTGCACCGCAAATGAAATCCAAATATACTGTATATCCAAGTACCACCGGTGTGACGGACATTTGGTGATTTAAATCTAATAATAGTGGCTGATTTATCTACCCAAACCAAACTGTACGATTAAGTTGCATTACAACTGGGAATTAAATTAAAGTTAAATGAGAGAGAGAAAGAGGAGCAAGAAAAAGTAACAATCGTAGTTAAATTAGAGAGAGGAGCAAGAAAAAGTAACAATCGTAATAAACAACTAAAAGACTCACCTGATCCAAATGTAAGTCAGATTCCCCTCCGAACCACCAGAGAGAGCCATTTTCCCACCAGTGGCATGCATACCATAGTTTGAGATCTCCAGGGTCTGACCTGTTTAAATTCCATTTGAATTGGTAAAATTTAATACAAAATCGATACATTAATGCAATTAAGCTCCACTGAATGTATAGACTGAGGCAACATTGCGATTCAGTTAAAAGACTAAAACAAAGCAGTAGTTTAAAGATTCATAAGATGTTGATTCAAATTTTTGATTAGACTTGATGTCAATCCACAAATGGTTTGGATATGAATCTCTAGTTTTAGGGAGAAAATAGTATTAGAGACAAATCTCTGCCACTTTTAGATTTTATTCAAATTTAACATATTTTAATGTTCCTGAAAAACAGACACCTTAAAAAACACAGGATATAAGGCTAAAAAAAAAAAGCTAAATCTGGTAAAACGTGTCAATGTTTACAACAAAATGCCAGTTGAATAATATTATACATTAATTAAACATATTTTTTTGTAAGATTTATTGTGAAAAATCAAACAGACTGCTAAGATCAACATATATTGATACAACATTAATTGCCAGTAGTTCAGTTCAGCTGCAAATGTGATCTTTGAACAACATTGGAGATCTCGTCTTCATTGAGTCCATGGGACAAATACAGGTGACAGGTGAGCCATGGCATTAAAAAAAATCCCAGTTTGTTAAGTCCTTCTGATTATTTACCCTTGTGGTGTATAAAAAGAAAAGACTTCTCACTCTGAAACTGAAATAAGAAAACTCAAGATACAAAACTTTGGTCTGCTTCTCGTCACTGGCTGTTTCCCAAATTTCGTTTCAGCCACAGAGGGCAGAGGCGTTCAGCTTTTTAAAAATGTCATCAACAAAAAAACAAAACAAAACTACAAAACAGGTTAACCTCGTTCTTATTAAAGACAAACAATGGTGAAGTCTTCTGAATAGGAAAGTTAAGCCCAGTACTCACATTGTGTCAGTCACTTGAATGGAAGCTGAACCTCTGCTTTAAGACAAGTCCGTTTTTTACCTTCCTTACTCTTAAATCACACATAAACAACAGGGACAACTGAACAAACACACCGATCTTAAATATGGAGTAACTCAGAATAGAAAAAAAAAAAGGATAACCTCCACACGTTTGAGTCTACGGTGTTACGGCGATAAAGGCTTTTCTTCATCGCAGCGCTGATTAGCCCCCTCCTCCCACTTAACTTTATTCCCTCCTCTGATATATGTTCTAGATACCCCCCCTCCAAAGAAAAAAAATCTTCACTGCCCTCGACAATACATCACCCTCCCCCTCCCCCCCAAAGAAAAAAAAAACTTCACTGCCCTCGACAATACATCACCCGATCTCTGAACGCTGATTCGTGTGTTTGCAGGTGTGCGATGTAGTCTGTGTGTGAGTGTGTCTGTAAGGTGTGGTTTTTAGAGGCAGGTTGTCTCGGGTTTTAGGTAAAAGTCCTAGGGACGGGCCATTTTAGGTTCGTGGGCCTTGAGCGTTCCAATGGCGTCCTTTACTGCGTGATAAATGATGTTCTTCACCTGCAGGGACAAAAAAAAAAAAAGAGAAATTTATGTTACAGATACAACAGTTACAAGAGATCAAACACTGGTGATAGAGAAGAGTATGTTACATTGATTCAAAGAGATCAAACACTGGTGATAGAGAAGAACAGGCTGAGCCTCTGAACCTGTAGCTTGTCTTCGTGGTTCGTGTGAGTGGTCGACAGGTGTCTGAACTCCTGCGTCAGTCTGAAACAGTGCCTCACATGCTCGGGCGACACGAAATCCTCAGCCACCTTGATACAACTGTACAAATTGTGCACCTGTGTAGGGGAAAAACACAAAAAATAAATAAACAAGTGAGTCATAAATTCAAGCAGGAAAGGCCTGGACAGATTCAGAACAGATTCTCTCATTCACACCTGGTGTGGTGCTCCAGCTGGGATGAAAACAGCATCTCCTAAGAACTGTACAATAGACCAGCCCTGGACTCCATACTCCTCATACAGCCTGTGGCGGAGCACTTGGTCCAGGTACCAGCTCTGGTCGTGAATTGGGTCATGGTCTGGAGGGTTTTCCTGACGCATTTCCTCCCCCACCTGACAGATCATAATAACAGTACAATAATCTCGAAAAATATCAGAACAACCAGTTCCACAACCCTAGAGACCAGTTAAACAATTACTGCAGAATGACAAGACACAGACGGTACACCAAACACCACCATCCAGTGCCTCTATTACTGTCTTTGATCCAACGTTAATATATTTCACGTGTACATTTGAGCATCTGCCGCAGCAGAGATGAAGAGGATGCTGACCTTGCGTAGCAGCTCCCTGATCTTCTCAGCATCCTTGGCAGCGTAAATATGCCACAATGCTCCAGGTTTCTCCTTTGCCTCGTATATTCTCCTCTTTGTCATTTCATCCACATCACCCTCTTCAATTGTGGTCATGACCTCTGGAGGATCCGACAAGGAGGGAAAACAAGAGAGAAAAAAAGCAAACATACAAGCAAACCGAAATGTTGTTAGCAATGTCTCTTTGATGAGGTTTTTTTTTATGGCAAGTGCTTTATAAATATAAGTAGAAGCCAATGATTCACTCTTAAATACGACTGTGTTTTATTATCCGTTTGAAAAGTAAACTACGGAGCCTCGTTTCTAGGGCAGCCTGTCAAAAACTGTCCTGCTTTTTCTTATTCATCTACATCCCGCACACTACTGGCACAGAACTGTAATTCTCAACTGGTGGCTCACGACTGCGTTATGGATCGCTGCAACACAAAGGGAACAAGAGTATGTTTCCTATTTTGTTGACTGTAAACACATTCAGCTCACTGATTAACCAGCAGTGAGGAAGACTTTGACTCTGACCAGACGGGTCAGGGTCAAAGTAGTGCACATTTGAGTTACTACACTACAACTGCCAGGAAAAGAAAAACAAAATCAAGGCTTGGAGGTACTTCCACGAGGTCTTTGTTTGATTTAAACCCTGCCGTTAAACCAGTTGAGAGCTCCAGTGGCCAAGAAATGGACAAGGTACAAATTACACAAACACATTTACTGAGAGAACATTTACGACCACGACCGGAGTTTGATCTCACAGAGCAACAACAGTGATACTACTCATTAAGATAGTACTAACCTACTGCTTATATAGGCTACATTGTTAGCACTAACTAAACAGTTCCTTGGACAAATGGTACATGGAAGCAAACACATTAATGAAAAATGTATTTACTTCATTTGACCCGTGTGTTCCACAGTCCTGAGGTTGTTTGTTTTCATGTGATCGTACCGTCATGTGTCTGTTAGATTAGGTGACCAAAGACATACTAAAGATTGACATGAATCTTGAGAGGGTCTTAACAGTGTTATGACAAAATTATATTCTGTGCCAATATCCACCATTTGACTTGTACAAAAACACTGAAACGACCAGCCTGACTTCATGCGTGCTAGCCAGTGATGGGAAATCTACTCATTATCGCGTCTCCGGTTCCTGTAAGGCCTTGAAAATTGTATGCACATACTCCTTGTTTCTGAGGCATAACATCGGGCTGGTCGTTTCTGTGTTTTTCCAGTGACTACGTAAGTTTCAGTACAAGTCAAATGGTGTATAATAACACAGAATATAATGTTGTCATAAAAACAGAATGGATAATTTTGCAAAAAAAGAAAAAAGCCATTTAAATTATAGCTATGCCGGTAATTTTTCTGTGCAAAACTTTTTTCAGAAATCTCTTGGCATTAAACAGGTAATATTTAAGAGGCATCAAAATCCATATGTGATAACAATGGGAGAAGTTTTAGGGTGTTTGAATTCAAGAGACATGTACATCTATAAAAAGATGGCTCTTCTTCTACAGTCATGTTTACATTTCTATAGGGAAAATATTTAAAAAAAAAAACTAAAAATATTGTTCTAATCTAAATGTGATTTGTATCAAACAAATAAAGGGGGCTGATGTGGAATAACAGCATGCCTTTGGTCCAATACTCTGGGACGATGAGTGATGGGATCATTTACGGACTCCATTTCTAGATGCCCTTCATTCAGTATTTAGCCCCACGCTGTAAGGACCAGAGCACAGCTCACCAAATGCCAGCTGGGACAGAGTGTCCCGAGATCTATCGTCAACTCGATGGCATATAATACTTGACCTGAATAACACACTCAGGTGCATTAACCGAAGAAAAAAAAACCCAAACCCGCCCGACCCCACGGAACCAAATTAGAAGAAGGAAGTCAGCATGTCCAAAAGAAACGGTATTCTCAAAGTGCAAATAAAGACGGCATTCACAGAGAAATGTAGAACGACACAAGACATGCCACAGTGGAAACTAACAGATGGGTCCGGGTGCTCTGGCCCCTACTGCACAGATGATAACATAAGGATAGGGTGGAGAATAGAGTGGGGGAGTTAGTGAAGAAGAAGGGCATGCTGCTGAACTGATACAACGTAAAGTCTACAGACCTTTGTATCCAGAGAAATCTGCCTCTGTGAATGAGAAATTTTGCCACATTGTAATTGATTTAGACCCATCGCAGGGTGACTTTGTCGTCTTATCCAAGCCAAATCAAGCCTGGAGCAGATTAAAACAGTAGAAGCATGACAATCGCAACACAATTCTGAAGATGTTCAATTGAAGGGCGGTTTGAGAGCAATCAGTTGGATGAAGGTCTGTGAGTTAACCCTTAAGGTGATTCTGTACCTTTGTCAACGTATGTATTCTACTGAATGTGCAGGGTTTAAGAAGTTGCCAAAATTGGTTCATAAGAACTTTCTATTAAATGAACAAAGTTGGAAAATAATTGTTTTTCAAATTATGTGTGTGTGTGTTTGTGTCTGTGTGTGTGTGAAAGAGATTGTTGAGTGTAGGAGGCACTTACCTTGCTCATGGTTATCATTTCCTTCAGGGATGCCAACATAAACCATGACGTTGACTGCATCAGACACATCCAGATGGAGGTTAGTGGTTCCCACCTTTCTGTCTTCACTGGAGATTAAGCCTGAGAGCCAAAACAAAAACAAAGAAGAGATAATAAGACGAAGAAGGACAGCACTTGAGTCAGATGAAGAATCTCGGCGCGTTGCCAAACTGTGATTATCTGGGTCGATTCCTTCTCACCGTAAGCATTGTACATCTTGGGACCAAGATCAGGACGAACAAAAAAATTGGGTAAACGGGCAGCGAGGTTCAAACGACCATCCCTTTTTGTGTACTCAGGTAAGGGCAGGTTATCCATCAGATCGTCAAACCTGGGGAAAAAAATCTACTGTTTACTCTAAAAGAACTGTAAGCAATACTTAACGTTCCACCCCTCAAAAAAGGACAACTAAGCAGATGGTTCTGTTTCCTTTCTCAACAATTCCTCACAGTAATCAAGCTTTTACAAAGTTACTCTCATGTGAACATGACATTGCCAAAATATGATGTAAACTTAATTAAATCACCATTATGCTCAGAGGATTTAGAATTCATTAAAGCTAATGCCCAAGGGCAAGATGACCTTTAAAATATACCATTTGAAAAGCCAACATTTTTCTTCATGCCATTGTTCATTTGGGTCTCAGACAGAGAGACAAGGAGACGGACACAAACACAGTTCTGTTGTCATAGTACCGCTGTAACAACTGGGCCCTGGTTCCAAACCATTAAATAGCTTGTAAGAGTAAGTATGAATATTTCCTATTTTCCAACAACTTTTTTTTCAGTCTGTACATAACAAAAAGTGTTTCAATAGTCTGTGAATGCACGGTAGAATAACTGGCTGTACAGTGCATGTCATTAAATTTGTGAACCCATTTAATTTCACAAACTTATTACATTGGTTATTAACTTTGGCAGCCCTAATCTATATGATAAGACAAGACTTACAACGGTAATGAACTTGGTCCACACGATGTTGCTTGTATAATCTCAAATGATAAACGTTACAGTAACTAGCACTCAACATAAATAAACATTCCTGGATACTCACCGTGTGGGCATCATGTCCCTGAAGTCCTCACATGGAGGCCAATCCTTCAACTTCAACACCATGGGCTGCCCATCAGCATCTTGCAGTCGTTCTGCAAAATGTGTCAGCAGTTGAACCACTTGGGCAACAGTTTCATTTGAACTAAAAAAGCCTCGAGTATTTATGCAAATATAAAAAAACACTTACTTTTGATGACCTGGAAGCCATCCCAGAAGTCCCGCACCTTCACGTCAGAAATGGTAGCACAGTTCCTGCAGTTGACAAGATCTACGTCCTGGTCTCCAAACTCCTTGCTAAAGGCGTCAGGTCTCCACAGCTCTTCTTTTAGACGTCTGTGTATTCCTGACACCAACACAGGCTGGAGACAAGTAGAAATTAGGCATCAGAACTAACAACGAAAAATAAGTTTCCAGACATTTAACAGTGTTGATTTCTTCTTGATTTCCATACCTGTCCCTGCTTCCAGCACTCCCTGAAGATCTTCCAGTTGTTAGTGTTTCTGGGATCTTGTAAGCAGAGGAGTCGTCCATCGCAGAGCCAGGAGTGTGAGGTGTGAGGTTCTAAAACGCTGAGGCCCATTACCCCGTCTTTACGGACCCCTAACACAGAGAGCTCGCTGCCCTCAGAGGTCCCAGTGCGACGACCTTCTGCCTTCTTGGTCTCAACGACGGAGGCAATGATGTGATCCAGGAAGTTTGGGAGGCTGCTCTTCACCTTGTCACTCTAACAGACAGAGTAGTGCTCTTTTAGACAGTAATTTTTGATTAATCTGCTTTTCACCCCTTTTTACATCAGTGTAAAACTGCTGAAGAATAAGAATCCAGAGTTTAAAGACAGAGAAATAAGTCTTTTGGTGTAAAGTCTGAAAACTGAACTGTAGCCAAACAACCACTTCACCATTTTTACATTTAACTGTAGCCAAACAAACAACCACTTCACCATTTTTACATTCACTGAGTTCACACTCCATAAGGGATTTTCAAAAAACAGCTACTGTTGTGCTCTGGCGCCCCCTATGGGACCTGTGGCAAAAACTTTATAAACTACACAATGTTAAGCATCTAGTTTGTCAACTTTGCTAAGACACTATTAATTTACATGTAGCAGGTATGTAAGAGTCTTTACAATTAATTCATATAATGTTTTTTATTAATACATACTCCTGCTGAGGTAAAGACAGAGGGGAACGGTACGCCACTCTCTCCAGGCCCCTGCGGTAGCTTCCCGGGTCCAGAGTTGAGCAGATCCCTCAAACTGGAACCTTCAGGTTTGGAGTGGCCCATGCCGGAGCCCAACAACAGGCTGTTAAATAGTTTGGGACTGGAACCTGAAGGCTTTGATAGGGCGCTGAGTGAGTCCAGACCAAACGGTGCCCTGCTATCTCGACCTATAATGGACCGAAGTGAACTGGATTCTGAAAGAAGATGGGTTGCTTTATTGGTAAAGTGTAGGTGCTTAAGAAAAATCCACAAGATTGCCCGAGTCTTTTCCACTTACCCTTGGTGTCATCCTTGGCTTTCTGTGTGGCCAAGTCTGCCAACCAGTGCAGAGCTGAGCTGTTGCCTTCTCCCGATATGCGAGATTCCTTGACGGAGAACTGGTTGATGCTGCAGGAGGTGGGTACGGTACTGTTGGAGTTACTGGTGCTGCCCGCACTTTCGCCACCCCCACTATCCGACGGCATGACTGTCTGTGTGGTTTCTGTTTTTACCACTGACGTTTCTCCTTCCGACTTTGGAGTGATGCCAATACCAGAAGATAAAGCTGCCACACCACCAGCACCAGCAGCGGCCATGCTGCTTGTTGTGGACTGCAGGGCACAAGCAGAACAAAACAAGACTTTTGACATCTGCAAATGGTTGAAGACCAGACAAACAAAAGGAAGTTGAAGGATAAAAAGAATACCTGTGAAATGCCATTGGGTGCAATGGGGCGCACAAGTGGCTTGGTTTGTCTACTTGCACAGGGACAATTGGCCTTAATGCCCCACTTGCCTCTTGCTGAATGAACCATGTCCCCTATGTTATAAAGAGCTAAAGCGAAGGGGAAAAAATTCTTATGTTATAGGTGTTGCTGAAGTGATTGCTACATCCCTTCTTTTCTAATTTAATCCTACAAAGGTGATATTCGATTTTACAATAACATGCTGTTACCTGTTCCTGGTATTATCTGTGTCGGCATGAGGTTCTGTGGCTCATGAGGTTGACCTTTAGCACATTTCAACCACGAGAAAACATCATCCTCTAGACCGTCTTCCAGCTCTGAAAGAACAAACGTAACGACACTTAATCCCAGTCACTTTAACACAACAGTATCGTACACAAGTTCCGGTAGTAGCTCACCTTCCCTTGGCCTGTTCCTGCGAAGACGATAGCAGTCCAAACACACACCGAAGCCACACTTTCGGCACACCCAGTGGATGTTGAACAGGGTTGTCTCGCACACGTCACACATTTCTCTGACGCCTCGCACGGCACGTTTCCAAGCAACTTTCTCTGCAAGGCAGACCAAATAAATAAAAAAATTAATACCAAATAGACACACCCCGGCATATGCACTAGAAAGACATGAATCAGGAAAACATATACTAACGGTGAGGTTCCACCATCATCATTGCCTCCTTCTCGGACATGACCAACCGACAGAACTGGTCTCCCACATTTGCCAATATATACTTAGACGTATCAAGGTCGAGTCCCTCCTGTATAGCAGGCACTGGCATCCACAAACTCATGGCCATAGAATCACTCTGCTGAGGACTAAGGAAACCTTCCACACGCAGCACACCTTTACGGGTGAATGCCAACCTGGTAGAAAACACAGAAAAACAAGGGAAAAAAGTTATGATTAGAATTTGAGTTGTAAGAACTACACGACTTTGCCTTGTGACAGTACACAGCAACATCACAACCAATTGCATCTGATGCAGACCTTCTAAAGTGGAAGAAGCGACAGGCTACGTTTGGGTCATTCTCCTCATCACTTTCGCCTTCTGCATTCCGGCTTTTGCGGTAACGCTCCAGGCGACATTCCCGGCACTTGTGTAGATGTGGGGCCACGTTGATGCAGGAACCATCCTGGAGAAACGACTCACCGGACTGCTTCAAACGACGGACCTTGCTCTGGTCTTTCAACACAGACTGGCCAACTGACAGAAACAACTCAGTGTTAATTTTGCTGCTTAGTTTTTTAACGATAAACACAGTCGATGTGTACGTGCGGTCCAGTCTTACCTTTGAAAGTTTTTTAACGACAAACACAGGCGATGTGCACGTGCGGTCCAGTCTTACCTTTGAAAGGCTTGTTTCTTGGACGACCCTTTGCTCCATGGCCTTTTTTCTGTAACATGGCCCCGTCTTTAGGTGGGTGTGGCCCTCCTGGGACTTGGCCTTTCTCCAACCCATCCTCATTCTCACTCAGGTCTGACAGATCACTGTTGCTACTAGAGTCAGAGTCATGTTTTGACGCCTGGCTTCTTTCCTCTAGGGTAAACTTTTGAGGCTGTGTCGGGTCAAAAGACAACGAGTCCTTCTCCATTCCACCCGGGCCAGCACTTCCAAAAATTCCACTACCAGAAGTACCATCCTCTTCGTCCTTTGTTTCAGGTTCTTCACTCTGTGGCTTCAGAGATGGGGCCAGTGTTGCAGAGGAAGAGCTGACTGAAGCAACTGCTGAGAGTGCCGGGAAAGAAGTCGGCAGAATTCCCTTGGGAGGCTCTGCCATTGTGAAGAGATTTGATTGGCTGTCCGAGGCAGAAACCACAGACTGAGGCTCAGCTCCTGAGAGTCCAGCAAAAGGTACGTGGGTGATTTTGTCCCCATATGCCAAAAATGGATTGGTGGGTTCTTTGGAGGCTTGCAAAAAAAGGTTCTGGTGGCTGTCAGAAGAAGTAAAACTAGACTGCAAGCCTAAGGACCCTGTAGTAGTTCCGTTGTTACTGCTTGTCTTGGCAGTACTTTGGCCACCAGAGGTTGATGTAAGACCACCAATACTTACGGTAGAGCTTCTTTCTCCTGTCGAGGTACAAACACCTTGCAAGGGGGATGCTGATTTGTTCAGTACCCCGTTTCCTGTTGGATGGGTCTCAGGCACTTTGGGCTGGTCGGGCTTTTTCAGCGCCTCAGCGGAGGTTGCAGATTTGAAAAGGCTTGGGGGATCTTTATTCTCAGACACTGCAGTAAAGTAATTGGTGTCTTTAGGCTGGCTCTGACTTGCAGTTACGCTGGGGCTTGAACCAGAGTTCTGAGACATACACTGAAAAAACAAGTTTTTGTCTTGGAGCGATTGAGCGTCATCTCTCGCTGAACCAAAGCCGAAGCCAAAAGGTCTTGAGGTGTCCTGTGAGGGTGTGGTAGTGGAAGAAGATCCATTGGTCTGAGAGGTAACATCTCCAAACACGAGGCCCACTGGTGCAGCCTGGGGCGACCCAAAACCCACGGGAGTTTTGGAGGCCTATAAAACAGAAGAGCAAAGTGTTTTTATTTAACTATACTAGTAACAGACACAAAGCCATGAGTATGGCAAATAATGAGTGCAAGCATTGGTAGTAAATTGATGTCTAACCTCCGTCTGGCTTCCCCAGGTAGGTGCTTTAGGACTAAAGCCCACCGAAGCAGAAAGTGCCACACTGGGGCCGCTGTCATTAGACCAAGAAATAGTGACAGGGCCTGGGGAAACAAGTGCGGCTGTTTTTGAAAAGGACGACTGGGAGGTTTCCTCACGGTCCGGTTGCGGGGATGGCGAGGCTTTGGGTGCATGAGCACCAGGAACCAGACTTGGCATTTGGCCGAGAGAAGGAAAAGAAGTGGAGGAGAAAGGAGAGGGGGCCGGTTTGAGGGGAGGAGGTGTTGGGGTGTGTGTGACACTAGTGGAGTCCGCTGCTCCTTGTACGGTCACTGGCCGACCGTTTTCTTTGACGTGGGTTGGATAACGTGGTGGAGTCATGTTGGACTGGTCCATCTGAGATGGGAAACTGGTACTGGAGACTGACACGCTGACCTGAGGAAAGACTGCCTCTGAAGAACCTCCGTTTTTAGTTGTGCTACTGACTTTCTGAGCAGAGTCTCCGGCCCAGATCCCCGTCCCCTCCAGCGTGGGGTTGTTTGAGTCCACACAGTGCTGCGCGTTCGCTCCAACATCTGCTCCTTTAAAACGTTTCAAGTTCAAGTCATCCTCACCTTCTGAGGCTGTCCTACGTCTGCGCCCTGTATCACCCTTGATTGTTTCCGTGTCCTTCCTTCGTAGCAAACTCTTTCCGAGCTAAACGGCAGACACATACACATATGTCAACTGAACAAAACTGCAAAATCAGAAACAATTGCGTGTTTTATGGGGTTTTTGTTTACCTCCTCTGTAGCCAGCATGACATGAATCACACGAGGATCTACGATCTGATTTTCTCCACCCTACAACAATGAGGAGATGTTTAGGAGCCATTCTAACATAACATGGGTGGAATGTGTAGGTGCTGTCTATAGTCACTTACCTTATCCAGGTGAATCTCCATAATGTGTGAAACAGGGTCATGCTGTGAGACGAGTCCTGATGCCCAGCACTCTTCAAACTCCGGTTGGTACACAAGCACTCTACGTCCCTGTATAGTGTATGAGCCTAAACCAGAGTGGGAAAAAATTAAACTCCAGAAGATTCAACTTTGCATGATGTTAAATGAACATTAACGACAACTATTTAAGTGTAAGTGGATTTACACCAGATTAAAATAACAAAAGAACAAGTGTCATCCGTTGCTTATTTGTTTGCAAATTTTGTTTGATATTATTTATGAACAAAACAATGGCAATATCAGTCCATTTGACCTGTGTTGTTCATGTGCATCTGGTAATCAAATGAAGACTGTATATATTTATACCCTTCCTGAAGATCTCCTGCAGTTCAAAGTCAGATCGCCAGCTGGAGATGGCAGCCTGCAGAGACGGCTCCTCCGACAGTAAGGGGTGTCTCAAATCTTTATCCATCTGTACACAGGCAAAAAACATTGTCAGGAGACAAGACTTGTTGTTGAAAAATCATGCGCTAATTTGTTTATTGTGGAAGACTAGTTGATGTATAACTTTCCTATGATGGTACATAACAAGAAACACTGTAAAATAAAGCTAAAGTACACACCTCAAATTTCTGCATAGTTTTGTCATCAGACAAAAACTCAAAATTCTTGCTTCCAAAATACTCCACAGGAACCAATGTTCCTAAACCCACACGATCCACTAGGGAGCGGAAAACCTGAACAGAAGATGAACGACGTTCTTAAGATACAAATATGATCAACATACAGGCTTGTGACTTAGATGTACAGTAAGTTCTACGTAGGGTTGGGCATGTAGGGTTAACAGTGAATACAAGAACCTTTAAACAGCTATAACCACAACATAAAAACAGAACTGGATGTCAGACACAAGATGTTCCACAGATGCTGCTGCCAAGTTAGCTGGTAGTCCAACATTCTTAAACAAAAGACATTACCTAAGCATTCTGGCAGCATATCACACATATTACTTTTGAACAGCCTGACTAAAAGAAGCGAGTGTATTCACACAAAGATCACTCACCAGGGCAGGCCAAGCCGTGGCTGATGCTGGAGCTCCCCTCACCCTGTTGTTGCCACTGTGGTTGGCCCAAACAACATAGTCCTCCACTAACACAGCCTTCACACCATCATCGTACACCTGGACCCACGAACAACGCTGGGAAGCATTCTCAAACTCCACAAATACCTGTAGACGGAGAGAAAATGAAAGAGTTATCGCACTGTGCAAAAGTTGTAGGAAGGCGTACATGTTGACATCGAGCTATTTTTCATTTTTAAATATTTGAAACAAATGCACAGGACCAGGCCCTCATATTCAAACAAATTTAACATTTTTTCACAGATTGTTTCAGGAGACTTTATTAAGAAAATTTAAATGTAGTTTTTTTGCTATATTTGGAGAGGTTGTCAAGAGAAAGAACTATCGCTTTGTGACCATAAAAAAAGCCCACTACCTTGGCTGAACAGGTTTGAATACAAGTTTTGTTAATCACTTTAAAACATTACTATGTGTGTGTACCCAGTACACTAATGGAACATAACTTGTACACTTAGTTTTCCTAGGCAGTAATGCACCAAGCAGAATCACATTAGTGGGCCCACTGGTTGGATTACAAGAATATGATGAAGGAGTGCCTGTCACACATTATCATACTTATGTCTGCAGGGATATGTTGATCATTAAGCTGTCTAGGAGAATCATGAATACTTGATTCTTTTTTTCCCCCCACAAGCCCATTTTGCTTGAAAATTATATATCAAAGACATTAGATCTATCTAGTCATCTGGTTTAAATTATTTTGTTTTATCTTTATGCCAGTAAAGGTTTTTTTTTATTTATTCACATATGGTTGAAAAGCGTCACAAACTGGACTGAGTATCAAGAAAATAGGGGAAGATTGAAGAAAATTACGTTAAAGTTTTGTTAGCTGCTTCAGCTATGTATGTTTTTCTGTTTGTTTTAATAACCCTAGGGTCACTTTGAAAAAAAGCGTAGTGACAACTTTAATCGTCATGTTTTTTTTTCTGTTGGAGGCTCAATTTCTGATGACACAACAGTCTATTCTTTGAGTAACAGTAAGAGTTACTCATGCAAACAATTCATTGTTTACAATTGAGGATCCCATATATTAAATGAACATTTTTTGAGAAAGTAATTACTGCCATTACTAAAAAAAATAAATGAAACAAAACTAATTGCCCCATGTCTGCTCGTTGTGTATAGAGTTGTGTTAATTCATTGGTAATAATCCTACTCTTTGTTGAGTGTGTAGTGACAAAAGTCACCAGTAAAATGTACTTTTTTTCTGCCTCTGTGTCGATGAAGTTATACAACTTTGACACTGAACCTTCAACCATAAACCTGTGCATCGTTTGGACCATGTCAGAGTTGCACTCACTTAACCCACAGTGTTTCTGAAATGTAGGTCACCCACAGCCGTGTTTATAAACCATGCCCGCTCAACAATTAGCTTTTACCTTAACACTGTTCGGCTAAAAAGTGAATTTTTATCATTTAAATAATATCTAACCATTCGACGTTTGTTCGTTTAAAGGTTTCATTAATTAATTCCTAGTTCGCTGACGTCCGAGGCCTTTCAAACTGCTAATATCTACCCATTAGCAACCACGTCACTACGGTTTTATTGTAATTTACAGACATTTTATCTAGTTTATTTTTCACTGGATCAGAACTAAAAGTGTCGGAGATGGAAATGGCCATAAACACGTATATTTACATAGGCAAAAAACTGAACAAAGCAAAGGCCGGAAAATCCTCGATCTCGAGTTTGGCTTCACCGCGTAGCTATAGTGGATATATGAGCATCAATTAACTGGTGACGAACCCGACGACTTTAAAGGGAAATATAGGCTGAAACAGGCAGTAAAACCACTCAATAAATATCACCTGATGTTTGCGCGTGTTACTGTGAGTTTTGTTCTACATTACAGCATCAAATACATGACATACACTGACCGTGAGACCTGCAGCGGTGGTTGTTGTTATCGCTTCAGCTTCGCTAACCTCAGGAGCGGCCAGGCCGATGACGCTCACCGCTCGCACCGTCCCCCGAAGCCAGTCATGAGCCCACGGTGCTTGGGCCGACTCCGACCCATTTGTGGACCTGCCGTCGTCGAGCAGCAGAAGCAGACGCTTTCCTACCAATTCAAGAGAGTCTCCCATGGTTCGCTGGCGAGTTAGCTGCCCTCAGTGAGCCACCATCAACTGTGGAACTTCTCCCCCCGGGATGGGAAGTGCAGAACAGCAGAAAATTAACACAAAACAGCGGTGACGACTTCGTTTCCGACTTTGCAGCTCGACAGACGTTGTCTCGCCCGTTGCAGCCGCGGGGAAGCAGCGGCGGGGCGAGAGGTAAAGGAGGTGAAGATGTTTTTGTCCTCAGATCTAACTCAACTCTCCTGCTCTGTCCGCCATTGAGCCCTGCAACAATCAAACGCACTCCTCGTCGACAGCCAGGAGCACTGCGGAGACGGAGCACAGCGAGTGTTTGATGATAACAGCGACCTCCTGTGGCGTTTCTGTGCGACACAGTTCAGTTTACAAATGGAGAATGCTTTTGTTTTTCTGCAGCATTTTCCGCAGTGTGAACACATCGCCTCTCCTCAACAAATAAATTTTACCCATATTTGGCCAAATTGTTTCTTAGAAACTGAAGCTAATAAAACAGTGCCCAAACAGAAAAAAGTATTAATAAGAAAAACAATACAAGCAGGGAAATGATTATTGTCATTAGTTATCTACTGAAAATATGAACTGATAAAGCTAAACGAGATTTATTTCACATTTAGTATGAAATAAAGAAATGATGTACATGTGTGAGGAGATCTGTACAGAAACACCCGTGATGAAACATCAGACTTTACCTCGAATTAGGAGACTTTAATCTCCTTAAACCCAGAAGACAGACTAAAACATTAAGCAAAGGGTACCATATGTTCTCTGACATCAACTATTTACGTAACTTTGCAGCACGATGTCGCCAAATCCACTCCAAGGTATATCTGCTATTTTTTTCAATCATCAACCAGCGTTTGTTGCTGTTGGAGGTTACCTGGTAAATTATTGTTGTAGTTTGTGATGAAGCATCCGGTCCTGGGGAAAAAAGGACATTCAGAAATGTAATTAAGGAAGACAAGAAATAGTTTGTAATAAATATCTGTGTATAAGATTAAAGGAACAATTGAAATTCTGGTGGTTACGTTGATGTTGTTTAGTTTAAACACTAGGGGGTGCTAGATTGCCGTGGCCATTTGTAGCTAAAGAAAGCCGTTGGTCCTTGTCGGTGCAGTGTAAACACTTATAACACTATATTATTTAATAAAATACCACAATTAAAAGAAGTAAGCTTTAATTATAATGTATTCTAAGTTTAGGGCAGTAAGTTGACTTGGTTTTATTTTTTTATATTAAGATGTAGATGGCAAATGAAACATAACAGGCAACCTTTTGTGAGAAGATATTTACAGCTGTGTAAATTTGGATTTGGGCCGTGAGAGTTCCTTGGACTTAAATAAAGAAGTGTGAGTTCTGGTCACTTTATTTTCATACGTACAAAAGCACTGCCCCCCCTAACGTGTTCCAGTTACTGGAACTGTGGTCTCACTAAACTTAATAATAGACGCGTCACCTTAACAGCATTTCCAAATGTAAAACCTCACGTGGGAACAAATTGACACAGATGTCATCTATTTTAAAAACAAATTCCAATTTATTCATGAGTTATACAAGAGAAAATACAATATGTACAAAATTTTAACATTAAAATATAAAAAAAGACATTCATTTTTCTGGTAAAAAAACCTTTAATAAAATAGGTCAATAACTTCATCTTAGTCTTTATTCCTTAAAGGATGACATTTATAAATGAGAGTGTGAGGGTATTTTTAAAGAGCCGTATCTGCTATAAGGTTACCTACGTAAACTAATGCCTGTGCGTATGCAGTGTGTGTGAGGACCTTCTCCTGTGCGGAGACTTCTGTTCTCACATGGTTGGATAAATGCCTGCATGTTAAAGGTGAACATATTTAAGTCTCCTCAGCATTTACTTCAAACCATAGAGTGTATATATGGAAATGGAAGAAGTATAGTTGCACAAGCCGTGCCGGCGTGTCCACGAGGGCACTTTAAGTTTCCCGGGCTTTCTACAAAATCTATGAACAAAAAAACTTACTTGCAACCATGGCTTTGCAACTGGAGCTCTACGTTGACTTTTTTTGCATTCAATCTTTTGCTTGAATCCCTCAATGTTGTCCTTAAAAATCATTGAGAGTGTTACCTCTCCCTGTACTGTAAGCATGTCTCCTCTTCATCCAGGATTTGTATCTAAAATATCATTAAAATACACCAAGAGACAAAAGTATTAAAAACATATATCACAATTTTGTTACAAGAAGAAATAAACAAAAAAATTTTGCACGAACAAAACACTCAAAATGCAGCAACATTTCTCAGTCCAGCAGTGGCAAAGTGACAGTCCCAGTGTTGAATACTGGCAGTAAGAGTGAGTGTGCCCTCTCTGGTTCACTGGCGTTTCATACAGCTGTGTGGTACACACTCAGCCTGTTCCTCCAGCTCAGGGCAAGGCGTGCCGGCGTTGGCGGGCCGCAAAAGGATGTAACGAGTGCGGTGCCGAACGCCACCTCTGGAGCAGGGGCCCAGACACAAACCCCAGGATGACCATAGTGATACTTCACAGTCCAGCGGTGTCACTGTGAAATGATAAAATAAGAAGAAAAATTTGTAAAAAATCATGTATATTAAATTGTACTTTATTGAGCCTTCACTGAGGAAAGTGTTCAAATAATAGTCTCCATGTCAAGGAAATGAACCCTAGTCTGACACGTGACAAGCGGGGACACTCACCACTCTACTGAGGAGGAACTACAACAGCCCAAACTCAATTTTTTTTATTGAAGCGAAATTGCAAGACAGCCAATTTGAAGAGCCTCTCTGTTCTTACCTGAAAAACGCTGCGGACTGATCGAATTAGGTAAGATATGATTGGACATGGGCGTCTGACGACCAGGTGAGCCGCTCTGTCGAGTGAGTCTTATGCTGGCAATAGGAGGCAGCTCCTTCAAGCGTGGATAGTAGAAGGAGTTGGCCGGGTGGTTTGGCATCTGAGATGTGATCTGGACAGTTCAGCAGAAAACAGATCAGCATAATTCAGCCAGCAGATAGTCATCGCACGTTTATATAACACAACAGCTAACTTTAAAACACATGGTGCTTGGACGAGAATGGACGGTCTATTATGTAAGAGGGGCCACTTTTACTCAAATCACTGCAGGCCACGAAGCAATCATTTAGGTGCCGACAGCTTCAGTGTGATGTTCTACTTCCATGTGCCAGAGCTATTTTAGGAAGAAGACGTGGACCAGCGACCTCGCTGCTTATCAATATGAAATGAATGCATGAACGACAATGGAACATCATGCTGGGAATGCATGCTAGTCGAGGGTGATTGTGAGCCTTGCACCAGCTCACCTTTGTGATGTTTTCGCGGGGGTTGGAGGGGAAGTTGGGAGAGGAGAAAGTGAAACCACTGTCGGTGCCGGCATCATAAGGGTGGAGGTCAACGGTCACTTCCTGTTTCCACTGGTTGCCCTGACACAGGTTTATGCTGTCCACCCCGACGAACCAGTCAGGGCTTGGGATCATCTTCACCAACATGGACAACTGTGAACACCAGAGAAAAAAGGCTGAAACCTTTTCCAAAAAGAAACAACAGAAACATACATTTTGGCCATTGAATTGACCAAAAATGTTCAATCATTTCAGGTCATTGGGACATTTCTAGTAATAGTTGTTAACCTGTTCAAAATATAGTCAGTAGGTGGCAGTGTATTGTCTTTTGTCAACTTAACAGTCAGACGGAGAAAAAAAGTGATTCATTAACTAATGCACAAAACACAACGGAAAAAATCCTTCAGATTTTCACGCACCATCAGGATGGATTACAACAACTTTAATCAGTGCAGGAGCGAGAGACCCAAAAAGCCCGACCTGCGTGGGCTAGAGGTTGGACCGTGCCAGTGGTTATAGATTTGCACGCGTAGAATACAGTCTTTCCAAGATGGTTTGGAGTGGCTGTTTTTCATTTTGTTCTTGTAAATGCAAATGAAACCACACAGAAAAGACACTGAAACCAAGTCACAATCAATCTCACTCAACAAATAGAACTGGGCTAACAGCTAACGCGCAGCTGTGAGTATTTTAGGCCCCAGTGAAAAGTCTGGAAGACGATGAGACGGAGAAGGAGACCATGGTGAACTGCGGTCGTTCTAATGAAATATGTTGTTGAACTTCAAGTTTTATGGATTCTAACTTAGTACATACGTTAATAGGTAAAAAACGCTTCACAGTTTCTTAAATCATGCCTTAAGGTGGTTTGTACATAAGTAATTTAAATACATTTACGACATATGGAGTTACTATATTTTTTTAATTCAATTTTGGATTCCAGTCATGGGCCGGATTGGATGGTTCTGTGGGGCCAGAGTCGGCCTGCGGGCCGTAAGTTGATGACAACTGCAGTATACTACAAATAATACTAATAATGGTGTGCAGAAACTTGTGGACACATTTTTTAACTTCCCCTTGAGCCAGAGGTTACGTTTAAGATTCAAGGTTTGAAGCTTGAAGTTAGGATCCACATTTTCCCCTTGAGCCAGAGGTTATGTTAAAGGTTCAAGGTTTGAAGCTTGAAGTTAGGATTAGGGTAAAGATGTAGATTAGGCCGATATTTGTTTCATGGTTGAGGCTCAGGTGAAGGGTGAGGGAATCCATTAGGTCAGTGTGAGATGCTCACAAACACCACAGCCTGTGTGTGTGTGTGTGTGTGTGTTGATGTCTCACACAGGAAGTGGCCCAGGGGTCAGCACACGCTGAGATGACAGAAACCCAGAGAACACTGAGAGATGAAAAGGCTTCCTGACCCGAGCTGTGCTCATTTAGGACGAAGGAGACGGTGGAGGTGGACGTGGAGTTAACCAGATCACTAAAGGATATAGTTCTGGAACAGAACACCAGGGGCAGTAGTGTTCACACAGGATTTGTTATCTGCTGTGCAGCGCACAGGTATTAAAACGAAGCAGGAACCAAATTCAAGGTTGCTTCTCAAAGGCCTCAGCTGACCCCGCCTGTCCATCTGTCCGTCTGTCCTTTCTTCCTTCCTTTCTTCCCTCCCTTGCTAGCTTTGATCCGTCCTTGTGTCCATTTCACTCTGACCCAGTGTCTTTTCCAAAAAGCCATCCTGCTTTATCCATTGAGCTACTCTGCAAGAATGAGTTTGTTGTCCTTTGTCATAACCATGATATGTCCTCAGAGTTTTGTAATATTTTATTATTTATATATTTTACCAAAGTCTTAGCAGGAAGTCTCACTGGGATCGAGACCACTTTAACGAGACAGACCTGGCCGGGGTAGGAGCAGTAACAAATCACCATCTAGTACAAAATGTAGGTAGAAAAACACATCAGGAAATGAGAAGAAAAATGTTTTCAAATATAATTCAAAGGACCAGTAGAGAACTAAACTGATGAGCACCGTCTTTGCACTAATTTTCACACTGTTGGAAAAAAAAGTTTTCATTTCACCAAAGCACCTTGAGCTAAAAATACCAACTGCATACCAGCATCTGTGGAGTCTTTAATTTCAGGTCAGACGCCCGGCTTCAGACCAGCTTCACTGAGCATAAATAAGTCTACGACCGACCAGCTCACTGACACTAAATATAATCCAAAGGACCAGTAGAGAAAAAAAGTTTTTTTTTAACACAGAGGCAAACTGATGAGCACCGTCTTTGCACTAATTTTCACACTGTTGGAAAAAAAAGTTTTCATTTCACCAAAGCACCTTGAGCTAAAAATACGAGATACACATTCAAATTTATAATTTCATCATTTGGAGTAATCTTTTTTTTTTAAAAAAAGGTGTGAAACAAATGCATCTACCTGCTGTTATTGACTTTGTGCTTTTGTGGTTTTTTGTTACATTTAGGAATTTATTTTGATTCACATCAATTGATCAGGATAAATCCACAGCTGCCCTGTAATTAATCTGATTTAAAAAACAATTGAATCCAACTTTTATTTTATCTGTCACTTCAGTGGCCAACGAGATGACACGAGCAGATACATCACGCTAACCCTAACAATCCTAACGAGATGACACGAACAGATACATCACGCTAACCCTAACAATCTAAAGGAGAAAGGTAGCTTCCTTTTTTCCTGTAACTCTGGGCAACCAGGCTGGGAAGACACTGATGTTTATAGTCGATCTGTTTGGAATTATAAATGTAAGTCTGCTCACAGACGGAGATAAAAATCATATGTGTTTACGATTTTTGCAGCACAGCACACTAATGTTTTGATTTGTGGTAGTGATGGTCTCTGTAAATAATCTCAGGTTTGAGGTAAGAGGAAATCAGTCAGGCAGGAAATACAAAGCCCAGACAAAATGTTCACCAGACTCCTTCCACTCTGTCCCCTCCTGACCTTCACAAACACATACTAGTCATTTATTCCTGCCTTTTCTGCCATTTGATTCACTCGTCTAAAAACAGACGGACGTGTTTAAACGCAGCCACAGACATCACGTAAGCAGACAACTAGCTTTTAAAGCCGACGTCCATGACAAGCACTTAACAAAGATGCCCTCTGACAGGGTTGTTTATGTTTTTTAAAAGGGGCCCCAAGTTCAGATGGTGGAATAACCAATAAAAAAATGTAGGTCACCAGACGCTCAGACAGGAGCACACTTATTTCTGTAGAATTCCAATAAATACCCTAACCCGCTCTTTACCTCCACCCCTCTAATTTATCAGCAGCGTATGTTTTGCACATAAAGAATTTTTTTATTTTTTCATTTCGAGCTTTAACTCTAAACGCCGTGGCACATTTCCCACAAAGCTGTGCTCATTCCTACCTTAAATATAATGCTTTGTTTAAGCCCTGGCTCCAAATTTAGCGCCCAGCCTCCAGCCACGACCTTGGCTCCAAACATCAGTCATGACTCTGCGCTAGCTTCACTCTGAGGTCCAGGGAGGAGCAAAGTTGGAGCTGGCCTAGTTAGACACGGGGCCTCCAGACAAACCACAGCTCCCATTTATCATCTCATTTATTATTTTTACTATTATTATCTTTTATTGCTCTTTGGAGATTCTAAGGATGTGGAACTGAAAATATTGATGAAAAATAAAATGTCATTAACTACGATATGGATGAAGCCGAGTGTTTATATGAACTTTGAACCTATTAAAGAAAGTAGATAAGAATATGACATAAATGCTAAGAAATACTACGACTATGAATGAGCTCCCTTTCGAGTAATATATTTTCAGAAATCAAATGAATGAGCTCCCTTTTCGAGTAATATATTTTCAGAAATCAAATGGCAAATAAACATCTATTAACTTAATTTAAGGAATTCCTGAAAAAATATAAAACTAATTATATGTATCACATAAAATATATAATATATATAAAAATATAGTTATATATTTATTGCTGCTTCTACAACTTTAGACTAACTGTCATGTCTTATTGCTTCACAGTTAATTCAATCTGATTTCTTTGCAAATATTCTTGCACAATAGCGTTTGACGACTTTTTTTTTTTTTAATCTCTGTTTCATAACATTGACCTTCCTGACCCCCGGGAAGGGGAATTGCATTATACTGTATTTTATTTCATAACAGATCTGGTTTATTTCACAGTGGAGTCTGTGTTAATCAAAGTAAATGTGATTTCAATTTTCGAGTCATTAAGTTTCATTTGTTCATTATCTGAGAAAACAAGCGCCGCGGCCTCAAATCTAAAATTAAACCGTTAGTAAAACAGAATATCAAACTGTCGTCCAGGTTCAATAACTGCTTGTCTATTTGAGATTTAATAAAAACCCGTGCATGAATGAATCCACGGTCCTTAGAGCAGAAATAAATCTCATAAATGTCTATTATCTTCATAGAAAACAAATGAGTCAAATTCTAATTCAATATGAAAACAACACTAAATGAAAAGCTACGGTAACAGAACTTAAGACCAAAAACAATCCAGCCAATAATATCACAGTAGAACCAACAAGTGGATAAAATACCAGGAAAGAGTTTTAAAGTCTGGGGCAAAGACAGAAAACACTTCAGCTGGTGTTTGTTTAGGTGTAGGTAGCTTTCCATCTTTTGCATTTAACTTCTGCTCCGGCTCAAAGCATTAGTGCTATTTCTCATAATTCACCGAGTCTTTTTCTACCTAAAGCTCATTACACAGACAAAGCGCAGACCTGGAAAGATGGACGAGGACCTTTGTGGAACTAAATATAGTCCTCGACTGCAGTGGAAAGAAGAGGTGAAGTGTTTGGTCATTATGGGAGGAGGTCACCGAACGACCGTGAGCACAATCAGTCCACCAGATGGTTCGTGTGACTTATTGTGTCCTAGCATGTGAGCGCCGAGGTGAAAGAGTATAAAACTTTTATTTGGTCCTACCATTGGATTCCGCGGCTGCATAAGCAACTCTGTGGAGCTGTGCCCGATGGCATTAGGGGTTCCTGCTGTTCGGTACATGGCGCCAACTGTGCGTCTCTTCCTGGCCTCCTTGGCCTCTTTCATCAGCTCCACTGTCAATCCAAGCTCAGCGAAGATCTGCACCCCTGCACTGGCTGAGGCTCCATCTTCCCACAGCCGAAAATGACGATTGTGGCTCACCGCTAAAACAGTAAAAAAAAAAAAAAAAAGACAGAGAGAGAGAGAGGAAGACAGAAGTAATATTCTTAGTGGAATGCATATCAATGTCATTGAAGTACCACAGAGCCTCAGCCAGACGGTGAGATCATTTCCACCACGGAGCCTGAATTTCACTTCCTGCACTTTAGCAAAAAAAAAGAAGAAGAAGCATAAATTCTTTGAAATGATTGCAGGGTTATTCTTTTCTCTATCTCTATTTCTATCTCTCTATCTCTGACAAAACCTCAACATAGCCTGAAGCAGCCAACAGGAGGGTCGGGAGCTCAGAGTTGGCAGACTGAGAGTTGACAGAAGTGATTGAATCTGTTCTCAAAAAAAAACCTTTTCTTGCTCTTTGGGCCAACAGAACCATTTGCTCCACATTCCCATATTCAGTTCTGGTTATCTATAAAAAAAAAACTGTGAAAAATCAAAAGGCTGATTTAGGTCAAATGTTTGAACCAGAGGTCCTGGAGCTCGGTACCAAAACCCACAGACCCGATGTCCTGCGCCAGTGATTTGAAGGGCAGAGAAAGGTTAGCCAGAAACACGCCGACAAATATTTAAAGGTTCTGTCTTACCTCACCTCTCAGAGCTTTGAAGAGGCACACGTTCAGGACCGAGCACTGATATTTAAACACTTCTGACACATGTAATACCACACACACACACACACACACAGCACCGTGCCACACAACACGTGCAGCACACTTCACACACTATCCGGTTACTCCCCAAACTGCCATTACTTAGGCAGTTAATTATATTTCCATGCTAACAAATTTCCCACAAGCATTGAGACCTTGAAACCTGATTACACATCATGTTTAAAACCCCTCCACGATATTATTGTCCACGTCCCACCAGTCTTAAGTTGCGCATGTTTTTTTGTTTTTGGCTGCGACAAATACCATTCCATCTAAATTATACTAACGTCCTTGGACCCTGAAAAGTCCGGCTGAAATGACACAGCACATCAGAGACCCCGGTCACATGACCGACAGGTCCAGCTGTGTTTACAGTGATCTTGGTGTTTTTACATTTCTCATAAAAAGTCCATTCTCTGTCACCGATTGTTCCCATTACACTGAAACAAAAGCAGTCGTGTGCACGATGGCTTCCAGCGCCTGTCTGTAAGATTATTT